TATTTTTCGACAGTTGCAATTTGGGCTCAGCTTGATTTGAAGTTGGGTTGCAATATTGCACCTCAACTTCTATTTGACATCCATCTGACATATGTGCCAATTATTCATATTTGCTAGACCAACAACCAACCTGATTGTTTTGATCCTAGCAACAGGTGCAAAAACATCGTTAAAGTTGATTCCTTCTTTCTGAGAAATACTTTCGCCACAAGTCTTGCCTTGTGTCGAGTTACTTATCCTTATTTAACTTCACCTTGTATACCCACTTCACATTGATTGCCTTCTTGTCTTAAGGTAATTCGACAAGTGACCAAGTATTATTGACTTCGATGGACTTTAGATCCTCATTCATTGCTTTCATCCACTTTGAATCCTTCAATGCTTCAATTGCATTGACTGGTTCGACATCTACATAGAAAGCATAGTGTACCAGCTCACTTTCATCATCGACCACATCATTTGATGTAATCACACATTCTTTCCACCTTGTAAGCATGTGACTTGTTCTTTGAGGTCTTCTTGTGCTTCCTTGACCTCTAGCTTCTTATTGTCGAAATTATTTAAAAAGGGGGAGTATGTGAGGGAAAAGTTCCTCACACTTAGCTATACTTATTTTAATGATGTCAAAACATACATAGGTATAAAAATGTACTTTGGACGGTATCATCAAGTCGCATATGCATACCACATTTCTCTTGCGTCAAACATTGGTCAAAAATATGTTTAGGTACATATAGAAAAAGTAGAATATGTGTTCCATATAGGTTTGATCATGTTGGTCAAGTTAGAGATATGTTAAGGTCTCTTAAAAGTAGCTAAATATATAAATAAAAAATGAATTTTTTCATGTTCTGAGGCTTTGAGTTGAATCATAGCTTGTTTAGGTAGACTCATACATAAGTCATTTTTTTATGTATTGCTCTCAGGAGTGCGCGCGTCGACCCTCATGTCGACTCATACTGTGTGCATTTGTGATTGTCTAAATTTGTGTCCTGTGCGTCGATGCATGACCTGTTCTGGTCGACGCAAAGTGTTGTTTTCTGCATAGTCTGAAATTGGGAGAGCTAAGGTCGACCCTCCCCTTGTTGTAGGTCGATCGCTCGCGCGTTTTTAACCAAAATTCTATTATGTGAAACTTTCAAAGTGTTTATTAAGTTGGTTAATTGTTTTCACATTTGCACATATATTGAGTTAGTTCATTCTTCATAAACCAACAAGAAAAGTGAAAATATACACTGATTTAGTTCTCATCATCTTCATCCTCTTTCTTGTATTTTCTCAACAACTACACAAAATTATTTTTGTTGTGTATTCTGCATCATCGAGGTGATAACGTCCAAACGTAGGATTGGTGTAATCAGGTTTGGGTTGAGAAATCAGTGGGTTTTTCTTGAATAAAACCGTGAGGATTTTTTCCTCCAAGAATCTTAGATTTTGCACAAATCGGTCCTTCACAGATTCAGCCGAGCAAAGGTAATTGAAGAACGGGAGGTTCTGTCAGTTTAGTAGCGGTAACAGGAGGATTGTGATGGGAAGATTTGGGTTCGAATCGTGGGTATTTGAAATCAATCGGGAAATATTTGAATACCAGAAGGTTGTTCAAAGGGAGTGTCATAATCGGAGGTTTACTCATCACGTTCGAAGGACTTGATTTAGCTTGAATCAAAGGAAGAGAAGGCATAGGCTCTGCATCAACAATTGGGTTTGATTGTTTGAATTCTATTGCTTCTCTTGTTAACATTTGCAAACAGGTTATATATATATATATATATATATATATATATATATATATATATATATATATATATATATATATATATATATATATATATATATATATATATATATATATATATATATATATATATATATAGGTCTCAATTCTATTTTTAGAACTGAGGGCAGACGTACCCCGAGCGAGGACGACGTGTGAACTGCCTCAATAAATTGGTGTTCTGTCTTTACTTTTTTCATTGCTGAATTTTGAGTTTGTGTGTAAACAATTTAGCTGATTAAAATTCCGGTGTGTGTAGTGCTGAACCATTTTTAGAAACCTTATTACAATCCTTGATTGTAATTGAATACTATATCACTTCATTCACATATTGAAATTCACTTGAGGTGCCTTGCACACCAAGTGTTCGACTAATTGCATGAACACAAACACTTGTGTTGTATTTTCATTAGGTTATATTTCACACGCATTAGGAACTGTCCAACCTTAAATTGAACAAAATCTAGTTGATGTGTGCTCAAATTAGTGATTCTAGATCTCGTCTTTATCGTATTCCATAGGCTTTGCGTATATCCGATCTTTTCGATAAAGGTTCGTTTTGACGAATATAGTTCCTCGGTCGCTTCCGCTTATAACTTTTTAAAAACCAAATATTGATAAGCGCCGACTCTGTTTTTAATAAGTGATATATTCAACCTCTTCTAGATCTGTGTCGTCGTCTAATAGGGCCTCAACACAAGAATTTCAATGGAAACTCATGAGCTTCGCGAGGAAGTCCCTCCTCGACACAAGAACCTCATCGGAAAACTCAAGCTCCGCCGACGCAACTCATTCTCACTGCCTTAACGGTGGCGCCGAGGCGATATCCTACTCAAAACCTAACTTTTATAACCTAACACTCTCCTACCGCCGGTGTTTGGAAATGTCTAAGCCACCACCAAACACCAGCACCTGCCGGAACCCAACATGCATCATCCCAAAGTAACCTACATTCTATGACTAAGCTACATTCTAAAACTAGCATACAAATTGAAGATTAAATGAAGGATTCTTACTTGACTTGAAGAGTGGTTGAAGTTGATTCGAAAAAAGGTGGTGACGGTGACAGCAGACGACGGGAAGAACAAACTGAGGACATAAAGAAAGTTGAGAGTAAAATGAACAGATGATCCCCACTTCTCCCTATTTATAATCCCTGACATGTATAAGCATGTCTTCGCCTAGGCTCTCGAGTACCCCTACTCGTAGGCCGTCATAAACATTTAATGATTCTGACACGTTGTTCGAAGATGCGCAATGTTTGTCCTTTCAAATTCCATCACGTACTCGAGGAGACGACGTGTCTACCTCTTCAAGTCCCCTCACGTGGCTCGAGGAGACGACACATTTGTCTCTTCAAGTCCCATCAATCTACCAGACTCTAAGGTGTCGAGCACCCACTCGCGAGCATAGCCTCGACAAACCTTCGCAAACACTTGTAAGCACATCCTCGACAAAATTTTTGCAAACATTCGCGAGCACAACCTCTACGATATTTTAAAGCAAATTCACGAGTAGCTTGGCAACTCGCGAGCAGAAATATAACGCTCAACGCGAACGCAGGTTAAGTCTGCAACAGTGGACCCTGCGTAACGTTTCCTCCCCAGGAGCGGAACTCAACGAGTCACGAGTAGAACCTTGTGCCTGTTAAGGCTCTCCTCGTGTAGAGTCCCTTGTTCCTATTCGATACACGGACTGAGGCTAAGTCATTGACTCCATGTCTGGGGGCAACGACTTGGGGAACTCCTGTTTTGGGCTAGGCCTATGGATGACCCAACGTTGAGCACGATCCAATCCAGTCCTACGTCGAGGACGACCCATAATGCTGACCCAATCTCTTGGGACCAGTAGAAGACATTTTCACACATGCTTCTCACCCGATGACACATCATCAACTTGGTCCGCACATCTCGTGAAACCAATCTAACCTACGTAACGGGCAAGTCCACCCACTATCCAAGATTATGAGCACGAGCTGCTAATTCCTACCTCCACGTAGGAATCCTGAAAGTCATCTGTTACCATAACAGAGACTGTTAGTCCAACGCTAAGGGTTCTTTATAAATACCCTCCTCTGCAGAAGGATTGGGTATTCTGTTCTATTATATTCTCTACTCTCTTATTACCTCTACACTCGACTGGCTTAAGCATCGAAGTTTATGCAGATACACCCCCTCCTCCGCTTTTGTTGACTGTTATTGTTGCAGAAGTGTTATCAGTAAAGAGGCTTTCATACACCATATACGATTGTGATCTTTAAAATTTACTGCATATAACTTGGCTAATTATATGGCATTTATAGGTGGTATATGTTTGGTTGGACTGCTTAGTGCTTATGATTATTATAACTTTATACTGATTCTTACCATTGTCATCTTTCTTTGAAAATGCTTATTCTTGAACTATTTAGTATAACTTTGCATATAATTTTTTAATTACCAGTTATTTTATAACTCATTTTTTAAATACAAATTGAATGTTAAACATTAAAGATTAGGGTGAAGAAATCTGTGTGGATTAAAAAAATTTTACAGTTAAACATTAAGATGAACAAAAGAACCTGAAAATAAAAGGTAAGTTAGCAAATTAGTGACCCAAAACTGATTCAACCTGAGGTGCAACCCACATAACCCAAGACCTGCAAAAATCGGCAACAAGGACATTGACAGTGGGCACTAGACACGTAATTGGTGCGATTGGTTTCATTAGATTGTGCCATATTGGGCCTGAATCCGATCAAACCTAACCTGTGATTAGGCCCAATATTTTGGTAAACTTCTCAGACAGACAGCTCAAGGGGCTAGAGGTATGATCTCTGTCTCCAAACTTCTCTCAGGTAGACTTTCTCCCCTGCAGTAAAAAATTCCCTGACTATTGGTCAGTGAGGATCACAACATAAGGATGAAAACTGGCATCCTAGTTGGTAAGTGTTAATTTCATTATGCTCCCCCAATAAATATATGATTTCATATTTCTAGAATTTACATATAATAAATTCAAAGCTGTAGTGTTCCTTGTGAAAAAAACTTATACAGGACCATGATAGGAGGGGAATTAAACAATATACTTTTGTTAAGCTTCATATATGCAGTAAGTTTCAAAGATCACAATTCGCAACTGAGTTTCAAACCAGTCATTGGCAATGGTTCGAACATTTTATAGCACAAGTACAAAATTTTACTTGAAACATCCATCCCGCAATCTAGCTAGCTAAACATAGCAGGCTTCATCCTAGTGTGAAATATCCAAGCATCCTGCAAAGCACATGCGAGTTTGCATCAGTGCATTGTAAAAGTCGAATCTAACCTATGTTTTTATTGAAATTCACTTGAGTCATGTTAGAGCAAAAAGTGAATGGAATATCAAATCATTCTACCGAATAAGATAGTATATGAATATGAAGCCAACTGTGAAATATCCCACAAGTGAGCATGTTTTCCTTGTCGATTTCTTCTCAAAAACCTACAGAATTCAGTTTCTATACACTAAATCATTTTTCCAATAATGTGATAAGTAAAAGCAGACAAAATGAGGTGCATTAAAAGGTAAAACCGTTACCTTCTTGAATCTATCCATGGTTCCCAACATCATACCCCTTGATCCATCCATTTTGTTACCCTGATTTACAGAGGAGTCTAATCAGAACATAGAAAAGAAAGTTTTTCACAGAAAATGGTAAAGTATGTAGTTTACATACCACCCGATCGAGCATGCTGTTATGACTCTCGACCTCTTCATGTATATCACCTGTTAACTGTTGATTAAGTAAATATTATAAGTCTCGACCTCCTCATGGCAATAATAATTCCAACACCAACAGAACGTTTCATGTTATAGATATATTTATTGTCAAAAAAAGAGTATTGTAGATTTAATAAGCAATAATTCATAAAGCCCGATGTTAAGAGAAGAAATTGATCGATATATACAAGAGAAATTATATTTAAATAAACAAATCTTACTTGCTTTAGAAAAGAAACTCTGTCGTGCAGAGTATCTATGACTTTATCATTATCACGCTCATTTATTTCAGGTGAGTAAGAAGAAGAAGCCCTTAAACCACCCTCCTCTAGACTATCAAGACCATCTAAAAGTGATGATCTGGACGACCTATTGTCTCTGTATTTGAAAATCAAGCAGATGAAGGTTAATATACAAGAAGCAATCACCATTTTTCGGAAAAAAAAAAACTAGAATAAAAAGTGAAATCTTCTAAAAGATGGCAAAAACAATTGCAAAAATAATAAAAATTATCTGCACACTTTTAACTCGGACACGTTCTCAATGGTTTGAATTCCATATAAGAAAAGAAGCTATCTAATTTCAATAGTCAAGCATGCTGATGCTGGCTTGAATTAAAAAACCACAATGAAATATTGATGATAATGTAAACAAGAATGACAGCCTCCTGAATAAATTGAAAGCAATGATAGAAATATTCTTTAAAAGAATTTTGAATCAAAATGAATTCTGGATTTGTAACAGGCAGATTTAGCTAGGACAAAAGAGTAAGATGCAGTAGCTGTACTAAAATGTTACTCTTGTGATGAAGTAAAATTTAGTAAACAAAAAGAAATCTCGCAGTTTACTCAATATAGGCCAGAAAGTTAGGAAATAAAACTCTTTGCATGGCATATGATAGCATAACCATATTCGCCCATACAATTTTCTATAACCTGTAAGACAGACTAGACCAATGAATTTTACTCTACTAACTCCGCCAAATAATAGATTCTACAGATTCCCTTAAGCAATAGTTTCTTTGTTCATGTGCCAAGACAAACAAAGTTTTGCAGAAAACAAAACAGTACAATAAGATTGAAATAAGTTATAAAAAAACGAAGTATCTAATAAGAAATTTGACAACAAATGTTTATCCTGATTTTCAACTTGAAACATTTTTTATTTAATTCTAATATCATTTAATACAGAGTCAATATCAGCAACAAGTTAAAGATCTTAGATGATTTAAAAACTGAATAGCAATGCACTGAGTAAATTAACACAGGACATTTAAAAAAATTGCATCACATCTGAAAGCTCTCAGCTCTCCGAAAAAATCAAACAACAATTTAATTGTGGGTTAATTTTATATATTTTATTAAAAAAAACATGTATTTTTGGTATCTACTATTTGGTGAAAAGGTGTATAAACTGGGATGATTTTATTGGGCCTATGAAGAGACAGCCCATGGCTAAGTGGGCGAAAAAGCTGCTGGATTACAGGGCAGGCAAGTCTCGGGTCGCCAATCCCGAACGTATGCTTATGTTCCATCTGTTTTAGCACACGCGGCCTATGAAGTGTCTAGGAGAAGCCAGATTAGGTAATGGCAGTCAAGGAGGAAAACCGTCCCTCCAAAATTTGAGAAGAACCGGCCTTCCCCTAAACCCACACGCTCGTCAGGAAGTTAGAGAAAACCATTTCTCTCCCTATTACCCGGCCCAAGAAGCCATCAATAAACACTCCAACCTCAGGTTAGGAGATTCATTCACTAATTTCGGCAAAACCTAGCATACAGTGTCTCTTGCAACCATAAGCGCTAGAAGACTCTCCCCATTTATTGTATTTCCCAAGTACAGTGCGGTAAGTAGTACCATATATAGCCTCAAGACCATAAATTATTCATAACAAGGCAAAAAAAAATATACAATTTAAGCTATCATTAAGAATTAAGCATTAAGCATTAAGCATTAAGCATTAAGCAAACAAGATTTCACTTTTCAGAATGTTATCCTTCCCTTCTTTGAACTCAAATATCTCCAATTTTCAAAAACCTACCTTGCCACCCAATCAAAGTTTCACTCTTTTTTAATCAGAAACATTAAAACAATCATTAACCAGTTAGCAAGTATTTCACATTCGTACCAGTAATACAATCGCCCCTTTTTCCTCATACAATTTCAAATTAAAGAACTCAGTCACAGTATCAGATTTCAAACTACATTTGAGATTTGTACTCAACAGATTTTATTAATTTATTTTATGCCAAAATCAGCTTATAATCAAATCAAGTCATCGTCCAAATCTAAAACCAACCCAAATCACAAACCTAAACCATATTCACAATCACCAAAATCATCAAAGTGAAACAAAATGCACAGAAATCAACCTAACAGAAAATGACATGAATGTAAAATTGCCAAATCGTGCATTGCAATTCGCAAAAATGTATAAATAAGCTTAAATTATTAAAATCGAGAGAAATAAGGGATCAACGAACCTTCGGTAACTCATTGAAGAGTAAAATAAAAAGTTGAGATCTCACTGACAATCAGCGACGATGTGAAAGATGTTGTTTGGATGGTTAGAAACAATGAGAAAACGATGAGAAAGTTTCGAGATCTAACGAATTGGTGTGTAACTGGATTGAATTGAATCACTTATGAAAAGAAACGTATAATCATTTTTTTATGTAATTGATGATTATAAAATTAGTTTATTTTGATTATGTAATTATGTTTGTGTTTTAATTAAAGAAAATAATGAGACAGGGAGTGTTTAAATTAATTTTATACGATTAAGGTTAGATATATCGAAAAAAAGTTGAATGAATTTAAGATTGAATCGGAAATGAAATCATTTTTTTAAAGAGTATTTCAATCATTTTTAAATAAGTTTTAGAGTTGGAACACAGAATACTCAAGTTTTATATTGAATTTGCGTAAGATCGACGAAAACTCGATTTATAGCGAAGAATGTTTGAAATTTGTTCAAGAGGATATTTATAAGTCATGAATGTATTGTTTCACAAGGTTGCAACCATTGATAAAACAACACTTTTAACTGAAATTTGCATTGTTTTCAAACGTTGCCTCTTTTCATTTCTTCTGCATCACATCACAAGGTGTTGCTTCTCTTTGAATCGAAATTCAAACACATGCATCGACCAAAACGAGAGCAACAATAATGAGCTCGGACAAATCAACGAATTATTGTTACTCATTGAATCTTGAGGTTAATGTTCTATTAACGCAAGATTGGTTTGTCGCTGCTATCGGAACTCTTACTTAAGGAATTTCAACCCCATGCCTCTCGAGGTTGTTTTTACTAAGTCTTTGCCTAGTGGCTTAGTAAATGGATCACCCAAATTATATCTCATTTGTATATAGGTGAGTGAAATGATTCCATCTATAATCAATTTTCTCAGGAAAGTATGTCTAAGACCAATGTGCCTAGACTTTCCATTGTATACTTCACTGAATGCTCTTGCTAGGGTAACTAGACTATCACAATGTATCAACACTTTTGAAACATTTTCTTTAGCCAATGAGACTCCCAACAAAAGTTCTTTCAACCATTCTGCTTCTTGACCAGCGAAAGAAAGAGCCACAAACTCTTATTCCATGGTTGAAAGAGTAATGCATGTTTATTTCTTGCTCTTCCAAGAAATCACACCTACCGCTAATGTAAATATCCACCCAGTTGTAGATTTATAATCTCTAACACGCGATATCTAACTCACATTGGTATATCCTACTAGTATGGCAGGAAACCTACCATAATGAAGACCAAGAGTTTTGTCTTTAAGAGGTAACCAAAAATCCTGGTTATGGTCTTCCAATGTTCACCATTTGGATTACTAGTAAATCTACACATCTTACTAACTGTGAATACTATGTCTGATCTAATGCATTGAATTATATACATTAGACACCCAGTTGCACTTGCATATTCTAATTGGGCTACAGTTCTTCCATTGTTCTTCTGAAGTGTGGCACTAGGATCAAATGGAGTGTTTGCTTCCTTAAAGTGCAAATGTTTGAACTTATCCAAAATTTTATCAATATAATATGTTTGACTAAGTTCATAACCCCCACTATTTCATTTTACTTTGATCCCTAAAATAGTGTCAACTAGTCCAAGATCTTTCATCTTGAATGTCAAAGTCAAAGATTTTTTTGTTTCTAAAATTTCATTCATCTCATTGCTAATGATCAACATATCATTAACATGTAGACACAAAAATATTACAATATTTCCACGCACCTTTGTGTACAAACATTTGTCACAAGAATTTGGAGTAAATCCATTTGAAAGTATGACAGAGTCAAACTTTTGATGTCATTGTTTTGGTGTATGTTTTAAACCATATAAGGATTTGACAAGTTTGCATACTTTTTGTTCATTTTCAGGAAGCATGTAACCTTCTGATTGTTCCATGTAGATTTCCTCATCGAGATCTACATGTAAGAATGTTGTTTTAACATCCATTTGATAAACTATAAGGTCATTCAAAGAGGCTAAGGCGAACAATACTCTAATTGATGTTGTTCTTGCCACTAGTACATATATGTCAAAGTAATCAACACCCTCTTTTTGTCTAAATTCTCTTGCTACCAATCTTTCCTTGTATGTGTTTAGTGTATCGTCACTATGATACTTATTTTTAAACACCCATTTGCATCCAATGGCCTTGAACTCTTTGGATGGTCAACAAGTTCCCAAGTGTGGTTTGGAACAATCGAATCCATTTCGTCTTGAATATCATATTTCCAAAAAGAAGAGTCTCTTTAAGCCATTACTTCTTTAGATATTTTTGGATCATCTTCTAATTGGAGAATAATAGGGATCTTATGAACATCATTCTTTCATTTCTCTTAAATTAGATAAAAGGAAATGAGTTGAGAATCAATTTCATTTGAACCTAGAACTTTAGCTTTTCGGGCTCTTTTACTTACCCTGGGCTCAAGTTGTGTTTCAAAAACCGTGAGATACTTTCGGGTTGTACTTCAATAATTCCTGGAGATTTTTCATCACAAGATTCTTCATTCGTGGGAATCTCATATTTCTTATTTTTCATGATAATTTTTTCAAAAAACTCCACATCTCTAGATTCAACAATTACGTTAGACTCCAAATTTAAAAGTCTATATGCTTTGTTGTTGGATGCATATCCTATGAAAGCACATTTGATCCCTCGAGGACCCAATTTCGTTCTTTTGAGATCCATATTCTTATAATATAATACACACCCCCACACTCTAAAATAACTCATATTTGGTAATCTACCTTTCCATATCTCATAAGGAGAAATATTTGTTAACTTTAAAAGAATCATATTCATTATATTACATGCGGATAGTAATGCTTCATACCATAAATTAAATGGAAATTCAAACTACATTAACATATCATTTATCATTTCTTGATATGTTCAATTTTTTCTCTCTACTTGACCATTTTTTATGGTGTATGAGGCGCGGGACATTCGTGTATAATGTCATATTCTTCACAATATGCATCAAGTTTCGTAGAAAAGTATTCACCGTCCCTATCACTTCTTAGGACTTTGACACATCTACTTAATTGATTTTCTACTTCCGCTTTATATATTTTAAAGGCATTAAAAGCATCATTTTTATGCTTTAAAAGATATACACATATGAACCTAGAGCAATCATCAATTAAGGTTATGAAATATCGGTTTCCCCTGTAACACCCTTTTCTATCCCACAATAAGATGGCAAATCAATCATATTTATCAGAGTAAAATGTTGAACGCAATAAAATCATCTCAAAAGAGCGCATGTTTCTCAATAATTCAAATATAGTCAATGCTCCGTAAACAACAGGTTTTTCCAAAATTTACTCAAAATATTACTCAAAAGGCAACGGAACTAAAAAAGGTAATAATCCAAAGTTTTCCTTACGCCACAAGGCAATCAACATAACAAAACTCAATAAAATACAGTTTAACTCAAAGACCACAACCCGATGTTACACTATCAGAGCAAGACCCTCTAAGTCAACCACAATGGCCAACGACCCAAAAACTTCAAAAGTCCTCGACGACATCCATGGCTAAACCTGGTCATCTACACGTTACTCACGTGGAGGCAACATCTAAACAGGAAGGGTGAGTAAAACGATTCATAATAATCAATATAGGAATCAATATATAAAATGACGTCATTTTCATATTCAACCTCATCATAATCATCAAGGAACATCAAAGGCCACAACATTATAAATTACATCAAAATGTCACATAAATGCAAATGCAACAAGACTCATGCATGTGGTACCAATCAACAAAATTCAATAGACACTGGGCCATCAATCCTCCATAAATCCACAACAGTAGGATTGATTCTACTCGAGAACTAGAGCACAACAAAATACCTCACATTTGCACAATGGGACTGAAGCCACAAAAATCAAGGTCCTGAACCGAAGTCCAGATGCATATGAATGCATGATGCACACGTCAATATCATCCTCATAATAAACTCATTAGGTGCATCATCATTCATCAAAATCATCATAACAATCATGTCATCATATAATCATCAAAACTCATGTAATCAACATCATAACTCATCATCATTACTCATAGGAATCATCATACAATTATGTAATAATCACAGGGGAGTCATAGTCATACTCATGGTAATTCATCAAAGAAATCACAACATCAAAACATCAAGACATCATTGTACAAGATCAGAATTCGTGAAACACTGCTACGTTCGCTAGCAAGTTCGCTGTGCGAATCTGGGGCGAATGTTCACCGTGCAAAGCATTCTTCGCTATGCGAACTCACGATTACAGCAAATTGCTGTTACGCACCAGCACCAAAACCAGTCCAAAAACCTCTACGATTTCCTTCTCCAATGCCCTAAAAACATCCTTAAATCATTCCTAAGGTATTACGACGATAAAGGCACAAAATCTACGACTTATTAGGACAATCCCGTATTATATTCACACCTCTAATTCCCATAATTTCCTTACAACTATCCCATAGTCATTAGATTTCTCACTATCCAATTACCCTATACGGTAAAAACTTCAACAATAGATTTTGGCCACGAAGGCCTAATTTTCCTTATCTCAAATCAGCCTCAAATCTATTAGACCATCAGTTCAAATCTCTCAAACTCATTGAACTCACCATCAGAAAGGCAACAACAATTCAATCAAAAATCCCTAAACCCTTAAATCAGCTTTAAACACATTGAATCACATATTGAAAACAATGAAGACAATACTCTTCATACCTTAATTGTCGACTCTAAGCTTTTCTTTTTGATTCTCGGAAACCTTGCAAAGTTTTTTCCTCAAGCCTATTCCTTAGAGCTCTGGCCTCTATTTCTTCCCTTTTCACGGTCTAACAAGAATGAATCCTAATTTTCTCAAAATTCCTTTTTGTTAAACCTAACTTTGGGCCTTAAAATTGGACTTTCCAACTTCACCCACTAACTCCTCCTCAAATGTCCATGTTACCCTTAATT